CGTGAATTAAGTTTATTTTTCTCCATATTCAACAACTTGTTTGTACAAGTTTGTACAAAGCAGGACAGGTCAACATTTCAGCATCAAAAGGCATTTTCATGTGTAACGGCATGTAATGGAGCTCATAATAAACCTTATACAAAGCAGAATTTTCGCCTGAAAAATTTATCTTCGCTTCTTGAAAGTGCTCAAAAGTTGACACATAGAGCACTCTTTGTGTCAGAATATTGTGCCTAGTGGACAACTCCACTGCAGACAAAGCGTTACTTGAATAGCGAGAATAATCGATTCAGACCGCCTTGTACCTGCAACGCTACATATACTCCTATCGATAGCCACTTATAATTTATTTGTTAGGGGCAAGAGTTAGTTGTCCGCGACCATTGCAGATAGGCTTATGTGTGCAAAATTACAGCACCGTAGCACTGTAATGGACAGAGTAAAGTAAATCATAGGAAAAACTGAACGTAGTAAGAGGCTGGGAGATAGTTATCCTGAATTCTCGGCTTTGAAAAATTCGCTTAGGCCAGCTATATCCCTACTTTAATTATACATTTCCGATTAGCTACTGCCATATCACCCTAACAGTAGTTTCGCCTCGCTCTATCCGTCAATGCTTGCTAGCTCTTGTTTCGTAAGGGTCTCGCTGCTAACTAATGAATGAGATGAAATACTCGGAAGTTCTTTAGACTTGCAAGGTTATAAGAGGAATCCAAGTCACTACATAGTTCAAAGACTGCAAAAGTCGGGGGCTTGGAAGAATTGAAGGGGCAGAGGTAGAATAAAGCAAAGAGAAAGTAAGAGAAGAAAACAAATTACAAGGTAAAGCTTTAGAAGTCTAATCAGGTATGAAAAGATCCAGCATTATAATGCTAAGCAAATATTTGAAGCTGGGCTAAAAGACAGGTTATATTTGGCTTTTAAACTCAGAATATGATAGGTTTATCCCTCCAAGCATATTGCTGTCGTTTGAAAGATAAGCTTTTATTACTTTTAATAGGTAAAGCAAATAGACACGCATACACAAATATTCAGATTTATCATGCTTAGCGTATTTTATTTACGTATCCTTTATACATTTGCCTTCCTGCCTAAATGTCTCACACACCTCAGAGTTATGCTTATTCGCTTCTTACCATTATAATGCAGTTCAATTTAAATCAATGAGATCATCTAATTGATTTGTTTGATCGATCAGGGTTGTGAGGATCAGCTGATCTCGAGGCCTTCTGAGAGCTTATACACTGAAATTTCGACCATATGACCATGAGTCTTCCGCTCTTGTTGTAATAGCAGAAAAAAATTTGAATATGGTAAGACGTAATATAAGGGCTATGACCCGCTACCAGATCTTTCTTAGAAGAGATATTTTGAGCTCTTCCAACTTGGTTATCAGAAATGGCAAGACATGAAAATTTATCGATCGTTTCATATACATGTGAATAAAATATATACAATATTACCAATTATTAATACGCCAAAAAACCCTCTATATGAGTATAAATTCTCAGTCAATGCACGAATGGCTAGTTAAATCTTATAATAATTTCACCCAGATGCATTCTAGGCAAGGATTATCATAAAAATGCTTGAAGTTAAAAGGAATTTTTCTAATTTATGGCAGAACCATGTTTTTTTGGAATAGTTCCTTTTTTAAATGTCACACTATTGTAATCAGGAGCTAACAAAATGTCCACACAGTTTACTCTCGTGCCATTTTACCTATGGCAGAAAAACGGGTGTTGTATGCGACGATCGATGCAAGCTTAATAGAAGGAATACAACTACAACTCAAGAGACCTGGAGCTTAGAAGAAAGTCTCTCCTGACCTTATTATTGTTCAAATCAAGTTAAATTCAAAGTATGCTGCAAAAACGCTACTGCCACATCACTCTAATGCAGAACCCCTTCAGACTGTATTTGAATGCTTCGTTCGTTGTGTTAGGCCTATGAAAGCTGTACAATGAGAACGGGCTGAAATGGTTGCTATGGCCTAGAAAAGCTTAGCCAAAACAGTAATGCAAATATGGCTAGATATAAATCGTCTAGAGGAATGGAAAGCTGGCAGACCGTAACATATTATATTAAATTACTTAAATTTTGGTGAATAATGTCTAAAATAAAGGTGAAATAAAGGGCACAATTACAATTGAGAATGTGGTTAGATCGAGCCAATAATTATGAATCAAACTTTGCCTAAAAATGTCACTTACAGGATTATAATTCAATTGTCCTAGAGGTCCTTTTTAATCAATCAATCCGTAGTCAGTCATGCGTATGCTAAGATCAATCCTAGAATAGACCTACATCGGTTATGATGTATAATGTAAACGTCTTCACTTGGTGTCAGCTAACAACTTTTATAAAATAGGATAACATCAGAGCCAAATCCTTTGAATAATGAATCTAGAAGGAATCAAACGGGAATTTTTCATCTCTTTAGGCTTTTTGGCCTTTGAAAGTGGGCGAACTTGGCTCCATTTTCGTGTGGGGAAATAGCAAATATAAATATAAATTTAGAAATGCATAAAGAAATCGACAGCATCTCAACCAAAAAGCTTAAGAACTCAAGCACGTGATAGTTCAGTTAAATTATTTTCAAGCAAACACCGCGCTCCGATAAACATGAACAAAATCTATTTGTTCTTAATAATCATGCTATACGTTGAGAATAGCTTGCTCTAGCTAAGATTAGTGTTGAAATCAAAATTAACCTAAAGTGCCTAATCATTCGAATACCTGACTCAATTATATGAAAAATATTAGCATTCTAAGATGATAGAAAGCCAGCAATAAAGAGGACAAATGGGGAAAGACAAAAAGGAATAACCAAAATCTGATCAAAAGTGGCAATATGGTACTTTTTAAATAAATATCTTCTGAATAAAGGTATTTAAGTGACCGAAATTGTTTACCCCTTATAAAGTATTACGTGGGCGCATTGAGTTGAGAAAATTTTACTTCTCTCACAAAGGCTAAGGTCTAGCTAAATCCTCTCTCTGCAAATCACCAATGAAAATTTGCTTTTGTTACTTAGAGTTTAGAGTGAAATGTAATGCTGGCAAAATCTACTGAAAGCTATAATCACCTAATGAGAACTGAAGTAATAAAAACACTAAGATTTTGGATACAATATATGAACTTAATTCACATTTTTTCCACCACTTGTGCTATACTAAAATTGAGCCTTTGCTGACATTAGACAGCATACAACGAGTAGGGTTGGACTATAAACTACTGAATGAGAGGATTACTTATTTTTCTCAACATAACTAGGTATACTGCAAGATTAAGCTGGGAATAAACCAAAAAGAATTGAAATTAATATTTTATAAAAATAATTGAAGGAGGCAACTACAAGTTTCTACAATCATTCTGACCGGGGTCCAGGTGGCCGACCTACCAACAGCTTGGGGGGTGGGTCCAACAGCCTGAATCGCTCCTCGACTTAACGACGGGCATACAAGAGAAGCGAGGCTGGCGTGAAGCTGGCCATCTATTTCGGAAACCAGACTTGCCAAATTGATCAATTCAAGGCATACTGGTGAGGGTAATGTAGCAACCGTGGCTGGAGCAGTCATTGCTGTTCCAGAAGTAGCAGCAGAACCAGAAGGAGCATTTAAATCGGAGCCACCACATACACGACTAGATGTCACACCAGCGCCAGTGGTACCATCATTTACACTGCCCGTGGTCGAGGCTCTCGAATAAACAGAGACTCCCATATCTAAGGGCCGTTGTAGCAGAGCACCAAGCGTAGAAGCAAATCCTCCGCCACTTGTTCTGCGACCACTCTGACTATTTCGGGGAGGTCGACAGCTGATGGGAGAGCGCATACGAGATAGACCGTCAGTCCCACTGGAGCTCATGCCTCGAATACAACCGTCGCTGTTGAAGCCAACAGTGCCTCCGCCTACTCCAGCATAACCTCCACGCGACCCCATACCACATACTCCAGACTGCCCTACAGTGGACTCGTCAGCCAGCTGACCAAGAGCACTAGAGGCCAGAGTTACACCCGCAAAACCAGCAGACACGTTTCCCAAGTATGCGTCGGTGGCAAAAAGAGCCGTCAAGCAAACGTCGAGAGCATAGAAGAGGTTTTCTTTGGAGAGTAAGGGGCATTCTGATAAAATAGGTTCAGAAAGTAGATAAATATATGCAAAAATAATGAAATCCATCAGTAAAAAAATTACTCAATTAT